TATATATATATATATATATATATAATTCTTCTGTTAAAAATTATTTTGATTCAATATGAAAAAAAAAAACAAGTGTGTTTTTATGTTAATAAAAAAGTACATTAACTTGTTAATATATTTAAATTTGCTAGCAGTCACACGTTTGAAAAAACACTGGCCATATATTTACATATACAACACAAAAAAAACGGAAATGTGTACAAGTTTTGAGATTACAATTATTATTTGTTTTTTTACACGATCGACTCTGAATCAACTAAATCGCAACGCAAAGCGCGTGTAAACGTACATGTGTGCGTTTGGATTTTTACAAATTTATTTGTTTATTTACTTCTCTTCGCAAGATGTTTCCTTTCTAACTCATAATTACTCTTTATGGCACGTAGTTTCTCAGCACTTATTGATTCCTCTCACATGCTCGTCCACTACATGGTCGCATTATTTTGAGAGATACATCAACGTACGTGGCATAAAGTTGACAAAACTTTTTTTTTTTTTTTTTTTCAAACTTCGCTTTACGTTTTTCAGATCAAACGTTTAATCAAACGTTTTAATTGGGATCGTCTCTGGACGATAACACGATGTTCGTTACGGACTGAGGTTGGCCGGAACCAGCGGTGCTCCAGCGATTTTGCTCCTTGTCGGCCATGAAGATCCAATGCTCGAACTTGTTGTTTTCCGGTTGCTTGATCTCCGACGGATTTGCGTCCAAGATCTGAGCCGTTTTACCAGTCGCGGACTTGTATTCGGATACGTAAACGACCTGCTTGTCCGTTCGGTCTTCCTTCGGACTCTTGGCGATATCCGATCGTCTCGGTGGTACAGGCGGTTTTTTGCCGGACGTGGGTTTGCCGTTTGACGTTATCTTGATCTGATTCGTCGCTTTTCGCGATTTATTCTCCGTTGTCGGTTCCTCGTTCTCGCTGTCGGCTTCGCGAACGCTCTCTCTGCCGGGCGACACTTTGATCTCCGTGATGTAAGTCATCTTCTGGGCGGTGTTCGGCATGGGAGTGTTCGGCAGCGGGGGTCGATTCTCCGGATCCTGAACGTTGTTGTAATCAATGGACTCACGTACAAGACCGCTGTCCTCGCTGTTTTCGCCGCTCGATACGCTAACGTTGCTGATATTGTGACGATCCTCCTTGTTGGGCGTCGACGTTCGCTCGCAGATCTTGCTGTTCATGCACCCCGAACCGAACTCGTACTCCTCTTCCTCGTCGTTGTCCTCGTCGTGCGGGGAAACGTTAATTATGCGTCTGGCGAAGTGCGTGTCAACGAACAAAGACTCGGTCGGTGACTTGGACTTGCTCGGCGAGTATTTGTCACGTTGCTGATCGATTTTCTGCTGCTCGAACTTCGTTCGGTTCACGTGAAACGTGGAGAAACTCCCGCCGTTCTTCCCGTCCGCGTTCTCCTCCTTGTCCGTGTTCGAAGACTTGTACCTGACCGGTTCCGACTTGGTCTCGTGAATTCGCAAATGCATCGGCGCGATCTCCGTTTCTTTATCCGCGTCTTCACGCGCGTTTGTCGTCGTCCGATTGTCATCCGAGAGCGACCGCGTGGTCGCGCGATGATGCGCGATCGGCTGTACGTCGACGTGTTTTCCACGTTCGCACTCGGCGCTGTGCTGACCGCGTCTTTCCTCGCAGCAGCGACAACCTCTGTCCACTGTCACCTTTGAAATTTGTTCTTCCACAATCGCCTGTTTGCCGGCGTAAAGCGATACGTCGTTAACGAACGCTTTCTCGTCGCTTTTCCAATCGTCCAGTCGCGTCAGATTGATCTTCGTCGGTTCCGGAGACGTCGAACTTGCGTGCAACTCGAAGTAACGCAATGCGCGACTGAAATCTTCCGACACTCTTGGACTCTGCGTCGAATCATTTCCGATATCTTTCTTCTCTAGTTCGTTGTCTTCGAAAAATTGTTTCTCGTCAGCCAGTTTGAAGTTCAATTCCGTCTCTTCGAAAGTCGGACTCTTCACAACCCGACCGTCGTTCACGATTCTCGCCAGAGAATTGTCCTCGTCCGGATTGAACATACGTTCGGAATGAATGAATTCTTGAGATAGTCGCTTGCTCAACGGCAGATTGTACAGCTCGATACTGGCGATCGTCTCGCTGTCCGAATCGTCGGCGATTCGAATCGAATCAAATTTTTGTTTCTTCTCGGACGCGTCATCCACTGATGCTGGCGCTACAGCGACCTCATCCTTCAGCTTGATCTCCACCGCGGATTTCGAGCGTTCCAACGTGCCGTTGCTCTTTTTTCTCGTACGTGTTATGTCGCACGTTTTCTCGTACGCTTCGGCGCCGGCCTCATCCCAGATCACGTCCTCCAGGGTACCCCATTCGTTCGACTTCTTGAGCTTTCGTCGATCGAACGTGTCTATCTGATCGAGTTTTGTTAGATCTTCCGTGGACTCGTTGATGTCCTCGGGCGGCAACGGCGCCTTGCGTTTCTTCGCTCCGGTCTCGGTACTCATGTCGAGACTCTGCGCCCTTTCCAGGGTCGCCGCGGTCTTGCTCTCGTACTTGGACAAATCGCCGAGACTGGCGGCTTTTCTGTAGATATCGTCCTCGTCCTCGTCGTCGTTCGCTTCCGGCACGGGTGTGCGATGAACGGTGATGTCCGCGGGATTAAGTTCGATCGTCGTGAAATTGTTCTGCATCTCGTTGTCGGTATCCGACTCCGAGTTACGTCTGTTCGTCGTCGGTTGATTCTCCAAACGATGCCGACGAGCGTCCGCGGCTGCGTCCGTGTTCTCGCGCGTTTGTTTGTTCACGTAATCGCACAACGACTCCGTGTAATCGGCGATGCTGTCGATGTTGTCGATTACGTCTTTCTTGGCGACTTGGTTCGCGCTCTTCGGCGGATCCGGCGCCTTGCGCTTGTTCTTGTGCGGACTCTTGGCGATCTCAGGTTCCGACGAGTTCATCTTCTGCGCGTTAAGCGGCTCCGAGCTGTTCTTTCGATTTCTGCGTGCCGCCATGGCGGCGTTGTGAACCTCCGTCGGCACCTCCGACGGTATGTCGATTCCCTCCCCGTCGATCTTTTTGTCGCCCTTGTCCGGCACGTCGATACCGCCATTGTCGGCGCTTATTTTCGAGACGGTCTCGTGATCGGCGCGTTGCTGAAGACGCTCGTTGCCAATTTTTCTCTCATCGGTCTCGCTCGACGTCGTGGACTGTCTGTTCGCCAGCAGCTTCTCCGCGTCCATTTTGCGCGAGTGCCGTCTCTCCAGATTCGTGTTGTGCTCGTTCTGATTCTCGATACGATGCACAGTACCGTCCAGAGCCGGCAACACCTTGATGCCAAACTTGTGATGATTGTTCTTCATCCCTTCGTCGTGACGTCGTTCGAAGCTCTGCACGCTGCCCGGCGTTGATTTCGACGATTTCATGGTCGAGTTCGTGGTCGAGTAATTCGAGTTCACGGAATCGTTCGGATCGGCGATGAAGAGACGCTTAGCGACGTTCTTGTGAGCCTGCGACAGTTCCGGAATCGACTGGCTTCTGTAGAGAGGATGACAGATCCGCGTCGGGCTCGGGCCCACGGTCTTCTTCAGCAACGTCGTCGGTTTCGAGCCGCTACCCCCGCTCTCCACTTCGAGTTCCACGTCGTACGGCGAGGCGTAGCTCAGAATCGTCAGCGCGTCCTCGTACACCATGTTGCGGAAGCTGATCTTCACGCTGGAGATGCGATCACCTGTGACGCAGTAGAGAGAAATCGCACGATATTAAAATGCAATTAGACAATTAGTTCCGCAAATTGATGATATATATATATTCAAGTAATTGCTAGGTAAAAACGTGTTTCATTTTAAATAAATTACGCTTTCGGTTTAAAATATGTTTCAGGCGTCGGTGTTGGCCCCTCAAACTGGGCCATCGATATCACACAGTACAGCTATTCGCGCACTCCACTTACGCCAACAAATGCATTTAATGAAGGCTCCTGATGCTCTTGAATCTTAATCGTCTCACGACACGCATTATCAAATGCTCGAATGCTCGGTAACAGTGCTTTCGCTGGGAAATGTGGGTATGTGGGTGATTCTCAGATCCCCGCCGGTTCTCGTCTCTCCCGAGAGAGACGTGTTTATTCTAATTAATAACGTATTATGAATTATAAACCCGTTCGCGCGCTGGAGCAACGCAATCATACGCATTCAACCGAACAAGAAACTGTGTTATATACGCTTCGCAACCTCGATGCGAGAGAAGAACGCTACGTCATCGTCGCGCGCGTTAATAAAAAAAACGTTCAGCGTGAAAGTCGAATCGGAGAAGATGATCGCGCGAAAAAAACGTAATAAAGATTTTCAATAAGTATACGTAAGAAATTGAAAAAATACGGTACACGAAAATAAGGAACAAAAACACGTTCTGAAAGAGAATTTTATATAAAATAATGAATTTTTTTTTCAATAATAAATGTTTTATAGAGATTGAGTTTTTTTTGACACTGATGTTTAACTTGACAACTTGCGAATACGATAAAAATTTATTTGTTATACATCTGAAAATACATGACCGTCAAATCTCTGTATAGAAATTTATCAGTATAAATTTCTATACAGAGAGTGTGAAAGTTTGATCGAGTTGACAGCACAATTTAACTAACCGGGGTGTATCAGTCCGGACTCGGACGCGGGACCGCGGTGCAGCAGATCCTTGACGAAGATGCCCTCCCTCATGTTACCGCACACGTTAAAACCCAGGCCGGTGAAGTCACGGCTGCGCAGACTGACCACGTTGATCTTGGTGGCCTTGGGCTGAAAGCAGGTAAAACGAGCGGGGTAACTACCGATTGTTACTACACGAGTGATGAGAACGTTCGTTCGCTCCGCGGGAGCCGCATTATCGCGCGCACACACACACACACATACACACGTGTGCGGCGGGTCGTGCTCGCGCGTAAACTCGCATCGGTCGTCGTGACGACGTCGACGATCAATGAACGGGAGTCTCTTCGATGACAAGCTAATAATCCAGGGACAAGTGGACGAGGAAGATATACGTCACATTCTCATGTAAAAAGAAGCTATAAACCCATTGATGTATTATATTATTATTATTACGCACGGCTGTATATCGCGGAGTTGATTCAGCTGAGACACAAATTGCGATTGACACAGACATGCTCGCCATTTCTGGATTATTTTCCTCGTTAAAAGTTATCAGATCCGACACGATGTTTGATTATCTTTAACTCTTGACAAATCGTGTGCGTTTTTTTTAAGTTTCGCGCGCTTCTACTTGAAAAAAAATTTTTTTCTTTTTTTTTTTTAAATTTGTAATCTGTCGACAATACTTTAATACGAGAAAGACTCGTATTTTTTTTTTTTTTTATAGAGATACACCGAAAAAATTGTATTCTTGTTTTGAAGATATCCCACTTACTTTAAGTATATTTTATACTAAAATAGGGCGCCAAGAAGAGTTTCTTATTTTAAGAGAAAAATCTTCTAAATAGTAATATTGATAAGAATATATCGTCACTCCCTACGTATAATTACATAAGTGTCACATATGGGATTTTCAGTTTATTGCATAGTGACACTCAGAAAGTCACGTTCTTTGTGGTCACCAAGTATTAAAAAAAAATATTCATAAGTATGGTAAAAATTTAAAACCGAAAGATCCCTTAACTACACCGAAAAAATTATATTCTTGTAAGTAGAAGATTTTATACTTAAAAAATCTACTTAAAGATTTTAGATGATATTCTTCTGAAATTAATAATATATTCTTTATTTAAGAATATAGTCTTTTTCGATAGTGAGATATATATATGTTTTTCTATAGAGGCTTTTTATATTCTAATCAGTATATATTCTTATCAATATTACTATTTAGAGGATTTTCCTCTTAAAATAAGAAATTCTTCTTGGCGCCTATTTTAGTATAAAATATACTTAAAATAAGTGGGATATCCTCAAAACAAGAATACCATTTTTTCGGTGTAGGGAAACTATATGAAGCTTCAAACTTTTAAACTGCTCTCCTCTAAAATTTGCGTTTTGGAGTTACGGGATTATACGTAGGGAGTGACGATATACTGATTAGAATATAAAAAGCCTCTAGAAAAACACATATATCTCACTATCGAAAAAGACTATATTCTTAAATTAAGAATATATTCTTAAAAATAAAGAATTATATTCTTCATTTCAGAAGAATATCATCTGAAATCTTTAAGAAGATTTTTTAAGTATAAAAATCTTCTACTTACGAGAATATAATTTTTTCGGTGTGTTATTTATTTATTTACGCGCAACCGCGAAATAATTGTCGCGATTCGTTTGTTTTCTTTCGCTAGATCGCTCCGAAATCGCGGAGAATGATAAAAAAAATGTCACATATATCGTCTCCTTACGATCCACTTCCATCCTGCAATTATCACGTCGTCGTATTGCGTGACCAAACGAGAACTGTTATCACGTTCGGCGCTTCTTTAGGTTCAACAGTGGAATGGAATTTATTGCCCATCTGCCGTGCAATAACTCAGTCCGGCAGAAACAATACCAATTATGAGTTACAGTAACGGTGAAGTGTACGCTCTGTCACACAACACCTTGTGCGTTTGCACAAGGTGTATACAATCGCATTGTCTCGGTACGGAAAGAACGACATCAATCGGGAGATATAGTTGAAAAGAGACATCGGGAGAGATTGTGTTACTTTTCACGCGAAAATTATACGCAAGATTTGTTTTATGTTACTTTTAATCGCCGTGTTTATTGCAGACAATACAAAAACAAATACCATGATAAGACGAGACTTGATTGAATTGATTGTTTTGAGAATGATAAGGTATTAAATGAACGTTCTTTCTTTTATCTTTTACAAAAAAAAACATAACTAATTGAATGCCACTTACCCCAACGCAAGAATCATCGAGGGTACGACGTTTGTCGGTGCGGATAGCCGAGCCGAGACCCAACGACGACCAAGGCGTGGACCATCGCGTTGAATCCTTGGCGGGTGTGTCGCCAGGTATGACCGACGACGGTTTCTCCGCGACGCGGCTAACCGCCGCAGGCGTGGCATCCTTGAAGCAAGGATTGTCGAAGGCGTATGCATCCTCGACGATCTCGGGATCGGTAACCAGCACCAAATGCTTACCTGCCGAACAGTAAAAACGAACGTGACGTTCCATAATCGAGCGGAATAATTTTCCTTTCGAGCAAATTTTTGTGGCGGGAAATGGTTTTCCAGGAAAAAAAAGAGAAAACTAAATAAAAATTACAGAATACCGGAGAGGAACGAGAAAAATGTGGAAGAAAAGAATATATTAAAAAAAAAAAAAAAAAACAAGAATCACAAAGAAGAAACATAAAAAATACCGAGACGCACAATGTACGCGCGAGGAGAGTCAAAAATCGTTCCCAAAGGAGTCTCGTCTCGGATAACAATTAATTCTCAAATTTATTCGCGAAAAAATATTTCCGAGAAGATTTTCTCATGAGATTCTCACGCTCAGGTAGTCTGAAAAAAATATTCTCTCTATTATACACAGAGAGACACGGACACGCGTCTCCGTATCTCTCTCTGTAAAAAACTAAAAATTCAATCTAAGATAACGCAATTCAATTGTTGCGTTGTGTTATTGCGCTTATTTTTACTTCGGTATTGCATAAGTCCCACCGCATCCTCTCTCTCTCTCTCTCTCTCTCCCGTTTTGCTCCGTACCGTGAAAGTTTCTTGTCGCGCGGCGCGTTTTATTCCCCGCACATTGTTACGGCACGTGAATGGAATCGTAATCGATGTGACTCACTTCTCAAGCTCATGAGAGAGCGCGCGTTATTACTTATTATTACAAAACACGCGGGGCGATCGAGCATCTCCGATCACGCGCGCGCGCGCCTATACGCACCGTATACGGTGCACAACCTCCTGCGATGTATATCGACAGGAAGGAAACGCATTCTTCTCTCTCGAAACCGCCCGTGTCCCGCTACATATATCCGATACATCCACGTCCGCTCCGACTTTGACCGCGTATATCCACGCTACGTACATACGTACACACATCGGTGTCGGATGGTTGCGCATGATGATCCGACGGTATTCCTCGGTGTGTCCGAGCTGTGTTATTTTACGGTAGCAAAAAAGCGGATTTCTCTCAACTTCTTCTCGCGAGATACTTCGGATCTCTCTTTCTCGGACCTCATTTTTTTTTTCAAAAAAACACTTTTTTGGTAAATTAACAGCGTTGTTTTTTTTTTGTTTTTAAATAAAGAGATGAAATCTAGTTCGTTCTATTACACCGAAAAAATTGTATTCTTGTTTCGAGGATATCCCACTTACTTTAAGTATATTTTATACTACAACAAAATAGGCGCCAAGAAGAGTTTCTTATTTCAAGAGGAAAATCCTCTAAATTAGTAATATTGATAAGAATATATATTGATTAGAATATAAAAAGCCTCTATAGAAAAACATATATATATATCTCACTATCGAAAAAGACTATATTCTTAAATTAAGAATATATTAAACTAATGAATGAAATAAATTGGGTTGTAAGAGCCGTTTGCACAGGATGTTGTGTAGAGAATGTGCTGAAATATATATATATATATGTATACACATATATACTTCGAAATAATTTATACACATTCTCTGCACAACATCCTGCAAACGGCTCTTACAACCCAATTTATTTCATTCATTAGTTTAAAAACTTCTGAGCCCGAAGAATCTTCTTCTTGTTATTATTAATTTAAGAATATATTCTTAATTTCAGAAGAATTATCATCTAAAATCTTTAAGACGATTTTTTAAGTATCAAATCTTCTACTTACGAGAATATAATTTTTTCGGTGTTTAAATGCTCGCCAGTTCTCTTCCTCGGACCTCGTTTTTTTCTTTTTTTTTGTTTTCAAGAAAACACACTTTTTCGGTCATTTTTGAATTGTGCAAAAAAGAGATGAAATCTAGTTTCATTCTACGTGGGACGATGTCCGCGCGTTTTTTTATTGCCACAACACACAAATACCTCAAGCGAAAAAATACTACGGGCGATAAACAGCCTGTTTTTCCTCGATCGCGCAATATCGCAATATCGCAAGGATGTCCCGGATTTTTTCCCGCCGGCGACAGGCGCGGCATTTCTCACAAAAGCTGTCTCGCCACGCGCATTTTACGCACCTACGCATTTTATTTATTTATCGACATGCAAATTGCACACATTCGTCGTGTGTGTTGATGCATGCGCACACTTTCGAGTCGCGATTAGTCGGCAATATTCCTCTCTTTTTTCCCTTCTCTCTCTCTCTCTCTTCTCCTGTTGCATTACGTAACGCACAATGAGGCGACTAATCGTGCTTGGTATGCACAATTGGCGACGCCTCGAGTTTTCGAAGGCTGTTCGGAGGAACGAGAGGGACGAAGAGAAGGATATATAACACATTTTGCCGTTGTTGAAAAAGAATTCTCGAAATTTACGACGCGTGTCGTCGTGCAATATTTCTCGTCGTGCAAATCTCGTCGAGCAAATGAAATATTTAAGACCGTGGCGTCGTCGCAGCCAACGACGACGGTGTCCAACCGACCGCGTTGGTTGCATTTTCCCGATGCAGATGCGCCTCGCGGGCATCGATATGCCTACCGTAAAACGACGCCGCATACTTTCGCATCGGCCCGAGCAAGCGATACCGCGAGGCGCGACTCAAGCGCTCACGTTGGGGAAATTGAACTTTTCAACAGAACCGTAATTTTTTCTTCCGCAACAACGTTAACAAAACAAAAAAAAATGTAATTTTCAACGAGATTGGGGGAAAGAATTTTTGTTCGATTTTTTTCTTGAATAATTATTTTTTATATCAATAATTCTTTTTACGTGTAAACAACGCGAATAAAAATATATTTTGTGATCATACGTTAAAATGGAAGATATATGTTTCAATTGTTTATTTTTATACACATTTATTTAGAAAAAAAAAGAAATAAAAACAATACTTTTAAAATAAGTTTTTAGTTTTTGTTTCAATAAATATTGAAAAATGTTTTTCAAAAAACTTTTTACGTAGCAGTCTCTGTGTAAAAATGGGCACACGTGCGCTAGTGTTTTATGCTAGTTCATTTAAGACGCTCACGCTATACAATGTCGGCTTATCGAAAATAACTTCGTTTTCGCGATATTCATGTGTGTGACTGAAATAATCAATTTCCGCCACATATAGAGCAATTGCAAACGGCTAGCGTTCATTCTCTTCACAAAGCCGACAAGTGAACGTCACCGTCGGAAACGATTGATAAATACGGGAAGATAAAAAAAAAACGAACAAATGACGATTCAAATTCCTCATACGATACCCCCCGTATAAGTAGCTGTTTTTACATCTAATTCCTTCTGTATATTTACAAATGTTTTCATTCTCAATATTTTTTTTAGGATCAAGCAACGTGTGTGTTTAGGTACTCCGGATACTTTTCTATTGTCTTTTTCCCACGTGTCGGCGCAATTTTGTGATTCTATTCAAATAACGAAACTAACTTAAATCATCAAACTTGATTGAAAACAATCGTGCGGCGCGAACCGGCGTTTAACGGGGTTAACACGCGCCGCATTGTGTTTTACGCAGTGTGCATAAAAAAAAAAACGCGCACACGGCGATACGGCACGACGACGAAGAGAATACAAAACGGCTCGTAAAAAGTCCGCGCGCGGCGACTATAATTTTTTAAACTCTTTCTTACAAGTCGCGGTCCAGAGGTAGACGAGATCTCTCTTATCAAAACATCATCACACCCACCCGGAGGAGGAGAGGCGCTACGCCTTTGCGAGAGACGCCAATGGGGCGCATACCATAGGCGCCAAGGTGAGCTAGCTCGCTTTCTCTCTTTCTCTTCTTCTTATTCCGCCTCCTTCCTCTTTTCGTCTTCCTCTGCTTCTTCTTCTTCGTCGTTATCGTCGTCGTCGTCGTTCTCCTCCTCCTCCTTCCCCTTCTTCTCTTCTTCTTCTTCTTCTCGTTCTTCGCTTCGAGTCGCGCGCGAGATCCACGCACACCCTACTATTACCACTACCGCGTCCATCCCAAGCGCGTTTGCTCTTATCGAGATCCAACTGATCTGGTTCTCGGCTTTATCTCTCTCTCTCTCTCTCTCTCTCGGAAGCCTCTCACGGCGGGACGCCTGCATGATCGGGTGTGACTCTTCTTTTCGAGGCGAACTGTTACGATAAAGTCCTAATGGACTCCCGGCGTCTGTATAACGAGAAAACGCGCCCGCGACCAATCTCTCTCCGACTATGATGAGTTTTTTTTTTTTTTTTTTTTATATGTATCGAGCGCTACACCGAAAAAATTATATTCTCGTAAGTAGAAGATTTTATACTTAAAAAATCTTCTTAAAGATTTTAGATGATATTCTTCTGAAATTAAGANTATAATTCCTTATTTAAGAATATATTTTTAATTTAAGAATATAGTCTTTTTCGATAGTGAGATATATATATGTTTTTCTATAGAGGCTTTTTTTTTTATTCTAATCAGTATATATTCTTATCAATATTACTATTTAGAGGATTTTTCTCTTAAAATAAGAAACACTTCTTGGCGCCTATTTTAGTATAAAATACACTTAAAGTAAGTGGGATATCCTCAAAACAAGAATACAATTTTTTCAGTGTATACTCGAAGAAGTGAAAAATAAAAGATATTTTTTTCGTTTCACGTCGCTCGTGATCTTCTTCGCGCGCGCGTGCGTCCCGCGGAGCTCAAATAAAACTTGGGGACGCCGAAATTAGGTAGCGAGCTGATGGGGTGGCAACAACACAAAGTGTATATTTTTATATCCGCAAACATTTTTTTTTTTATATTGTAATAATTAACGTAATTGATTTTTTATTAATTTTGTTTTTATTATTCTTTTGTCGCGCGGCAATGTGAGTTTTTTTTTTCTTACGATTAATCTTTCGAATGTATGTCGCGTGAGATGCTCGTCGCAGGAGAATTTGAGACGTGCCATTGTGGCGTTTGCGGATGTTCTCAGCGATTAAAAAACGCGCTTTGATTACGCGTAAATATCATCTAACGCGCCCGTTTCATGACGCAGCGTCGTTTTTTTTTTGTTTTTTTTTTTTACAGGTAATTTTTACGCGCGACGAGATTACGGATCGA